TAAAATAGCAAATCTCACTTCATTGCCAATTTGTGACGCGTAGCTTTCAAACGTCATCTCCATGTATATGTTTTCATATTTGCCAGATAATGAGAATGTTTTGAATTTGTTTTGATTCAAAAAACAATCGCAATCTTCAGAATGCAAATCGCTACCTTAAACCAACTGACCACATGTAATCCTTCGCTATGCCTTTTCTACACTACGACAATCTTTTGCTGAGGTCATCAATCTTCTCTTTATAGGTGATGGAATTTGTTGAAAATAATAGGGATGACTTTAGGGAAAGTTCTGCATCCCCTTCAGTTGGTGTAGAGTTTGCCCTCCCAACAACATGTAAGTGAACTTTATTTTTTAGAGCCTCTCTTCTAACATAAATTTCTTAGTTTTTAATACCCCTACAAACTTTTTAGGCGGTGAAGATGGATCATACAACGTGAAGGCAAAAGAATGCAGTCAAGACATTCCAGAAACCCTGAACAAGCAGCCAGTTGATGAAGGAAACACCACAACTGCCAAACAAGAGCCGCCAACATCTTCCAAGACTTTGTCAATACCCAAACTGCATAGTTTGATTAGAATGCGACAGGTAATCCATTTGCTCGAGGGGGCATATACGGCTTATCTGATATTAGCATTCAATCTCAGAAGTTAGTGAAGCATATACATCAACTGGAAGTGCGAGAAGTTTGCTTTGAGGACGAGGCAAAAGAGATGTTCTACATTAATCACGAGCGTAAGGTGCGTCAGAGACTACTGCTTTGATGTTTTTATTTTGTCAGAATTATTCGCTCATCAATTGGAACTGTACTCATAGCATTTGAAATCTAGTCAATTATATCGCTTCGTATTGATGGAATGACCCGCGAGGGTCTCATGTCCAAGCTACGTCTTAAATGAAAAGAGGAGAGCAAAGTTTTTTTGGTCAATATTCTTCCGATATCATACTATGTCAACAGCTGCATCTGGCAATCATATGAAACAAGCGTTTTAGGAAGAGTCCAAGAATCTGTTTTTGTTTAATCCTGCCCTGTTCAGACAGTAATCATTCAAAACTTCCGTAGTTTTGGAAACAACCTATATAGGCGTTTGGCAGATTTGATGTTTGAAAAAGACAATGTTTTAGAAAAATGGGTTTAAGATCAATCATATCTATCTCTATCGTAGTGATATAACTCTAAACCTTCTCACATTCACTGTAGCGGTTGTTGATTACATGGTCTCGTTTCTTGCTGAATATAAAATTGTATTCTCGCACTAACTGCTTTATCAACTATCTTTCCTTATTATTTTTGCGAACTTGTTAAATTGCATATTGAGTTTATTTGATTATAGAAGGTGTCCTCAAAAACCAAGATTTCTCTTTGGGTTGTGAAGATTTGATGTAATTTTTTAGTTGAAGAAAGCACTTCTGGAAGTTGAAAAGACATTGCACAAACATGGAGCATTGGTGGATGTTGATGAGGATTTACAAGCATAGTCAGTACTTTTGCAATCGTACCGGATATTTTGATATCCATCTCGAAACTTCTTATTTCTATATTTGTGTCCTGCTGCAGCTATGACAACACATACTCTCCGAACATAAATGTGGTGGATACTGGAAACGAACTTTTGAATAAAAGGATTAGTGACCTAATGAATAAGAAGATTTTCGACAAGGAGAAAGTCATGTGAGCTTAAACGTTTTGATTTTGTTCCTAGTCGGATTATATTACATTGGAATTTAATTGCAGCACTCCTTCGTTTGATGAGATACGCGACATTATGTGTGAGCTACGAGCTGAACATGGCTCATCCTCTGGAATTCCTGATCCTGAGAAGGAATCGGATGCATTTTGTGAGTAACTATACTACGAACTTCTTCATGTTTACCTTTCTTATAAACTTCGATATCAGCGATCTGAAATTTCGTACTGTCGGGGTACCTGCTGGACGTCTAAAAGCTTTTTTGAGTTCCATAGAGCATGGAAATTGCTATGAAGTGCTTAAACTCTTTGCAATTCCTATTTTGAATTTATAATTTTATGTTACCCGTAGACTTTTTAAGGGTTTTGCTACATGCACGACCGTGCACTTGTGCATGCATGCCTCTTTGTTTTCTGTTTTTGATTTTTTTT